TCGTGCCCGGACAATCGGACAAACGGACAAACGGAACGGACGGAAAGTTCAGACATATACACAGGCACACCTACGTTACTAGAGCCACAGGCACACACAGTGGTGGACAAGGAATTAGCGATTAATTTCTCTAGAGGTTCCTAATTCCATTTCTGACAATTAGTGTATGAATGACTCGAAGTTACATAATTATTTATTTAACTTTGACATATTATTATTAATCATTTTAATATCAAGCCTGGAATTATTTCTGAAAAAATGTTTAACGTTTTTTTGTCTGTTAAAAATGTTTTAAATTACTTAAAAAGCATCCGAATCTTAACTGTTTAACCGTTTTATATTCACAACAAATGTACTGATCGATCTCCATCTTAATTTTAAAATATAGAAATGTCGTTAAAAGGATTGCAGCCGTAAAATGAATAAAAATGTAAAACAAAATCTACTTAATCAACTTAATTTTCTCAGCTCAAAAAAGACTATAAAATAAATGTATTTTATTTTGTCCTAAAGCTTATTTTTGGTCTTAAAAAAATTTACCTTTTTAAAGGTTCCGTAAAATAAATGTTAATGCTGCTCACAATCTTTCTTCAGTTTCATTTTCAAACCTGATCTTTTGGGTGCTATTTTCGTGAACTGTGGTGTGGATGTACGCACACACACACTCGCAGTCACCATATAAAGGCAGGCCAACCAAACGGCGACGGAGGCGGCAGAGGCGACGGCAGAGGGAGCGACGCGGGCAGCGACGCTGGCAGAGGCGTTGGCAGAGTCAGGCCAGACAGTCTGTCGCCAGAAAAATCCGCACTCACACCAGCGGCATTGCACTCACACGCACATGCACATACACTGAAAGAAACGAGTGATGGCGAAAGGGGGAGGGCAGGAGGTTGGTGGAGAGGGGGCGTCGCTGTCCACTGTGTTGTTGTATCTTGGTTGAGAAATCGCTCGAAAAAGCGAAGCGCAAAGCAAAGCAAAATTCCATTTAGATTATGCTCAGTACCCTTGTTCTTCTTCTTCTCGTTACACTGAGAAAAAAATCATATGCAGTTGGTCGTCTTGTTGAGAATACACTTGGAGAAAATATAGTTTGCAAAGTTTTAGAAATACAAATCATTGTAGAAAATTTAAAGCAGCTATGAATCAAGATCAAATTTAAAAAAAAGGTTTAAACAATTATTTTTTAACTAATTTTCTGCAAAATTTTCACAAATTATTATTTTTTTAAAACGGAAACTGAAATTTGTGCTATCAAATGCCAAAAACTTTCCAAGAACTTTGAATTTCATAACATATAACTGCTTAAATTTAACCCGAAAAATTAAAATTACTGTAAAATTTCACACTTTAGGCACTTATGTATTAAAAGTGAGTTAATTAAAAAAAAGAAAATTGTGAGTATTGTAAAAAAATAGTTATCTATAAAAGGTTTTTTTTTGTGATTTAAGTGTTATTTAAATGCTCTTAAAATTTGGTGGCAGTGTATCATTCGAGTTGTTGTTGGCGCTTTTGACGAACCGACCGCGCTGCTTGGGAGGTGTTACTCTACACACACACAGGTACACACGCAATGAACCCCAGAAGCACACACACATTGAAATGAACACTCGATGTGGAGTGTCTGCGTGTGGGTGAGGTGTGCCAGTGTGTGTGTGAGTGCAGTGTGCATTGCATTGCCAGACCGTCCGGCGCGCATAACGTCATCGTCGTCGTCATCGTCACAGTGGCGTCACATTTCAAGGGGGGTTACCAACAAAAACACAAAACCAATAAAGGAGGTTTGATTACACTTTTTTTTTTGGCAAAATACAGGTCTTATTACTCCTTCATCATAATATTAGACCTTTGATTTTGAATTCTTTTTGAGCAGCGCCTTTCTGTTATTGACAATTGTTTTTAATATTTGGGAAAAAGATGATGATTATGATTAAGCTCTTAATTTTTAATACAAAGTTTTAAAGTTCAGAACACTAAGGAAACGAAATGAGTCTGTGCTTAAAAAGGGTTTATTTGCTTTTGGATCGCCAGAAAGTATGCAATATTTTCCGCAAACGCAGACATGAATTGGAAAAAAAACATAATCATTGCATTTTTTTCTTTTATGAAAACGACAAGGAAGATTAAAATAACAAATACTTGTTTTTTAATAAAATTTTATCATGAACTATGGGCAGCTTAATTGAATATGTTTTTAAATCGAATGGAATTTGTGTTCATTATTAAGTATTTTCTCAAATATATTTCAAAAACATTTTAATCTCCAATCGATCCCCTTTCAATAACGCCCCTGTTTCCTCTACTCGAGTTTGAATTTTATCGCCCACGATTTCGGTTTTTGTTGTTGCCTCTACTGTTTGTTTTCGATACCCAAGCACACACACACACATGCACATTCAAATACACAGGGGGTACTTGAGTTCTATGGTTATAAAAAAAAACCCCTCCACTTAACCCGCCCCTGAAGCAAATAATTCTCAAACAAAGTCTCCCAACTAACAATCAAATGCTAAGTTTCATTTGCCATGCCAATGCAAATCGATGTTGATAAGTCTCAAGTAGACATAATTTTGGAAAGTTTCCTTACCAAGTTTGATAGATTGGAAACTCATTCTAAAATTTTTTTGTTTCTTAATGGACTACCGACAAAATAAGTTTTTAAAAATTTGTATTATAATAATTGATTTAAAACAAAATGGGTTAAGTACCCTTACACCAAAGTGTTATAAGTTATATTGTTAAGTTATTAACTTAATAATTAATGTGGGTATAAAGTCGATGATCCTTCAAGAGAGTTAGTTTGCTGACAACTTATATTATACTTTGAAGTTTTTTTTCTTTCTATTCAATAAATTAAAATGAATATTTGAAAAATACAAGACATTTTTAAAATACTAAATAAACGCAAGAATAAGTTTTAAGGTATCTATGTTTTAGGTATCTATATTTATTTTATAACTTACAAATGCCCACCTGTTGTAATCATTAAAACTTCTCCCAAGCAAAAATCTTAAGTCCAATGAGCTGAACATTTTTTAACTAAAATGAAACCGAATCCTGCTTATGGCATTCGCAGAGATTGAAAAGTTGGATTATCCCGCGAATTCCACGGTTCTCTTGGATCTCAACTTAACCCTTACGGCCTGTCAGATGGCATATTCCTCAGGTGCCCGGCTGTCTGCAGTTGTTTTTTTTTTTTTTTTTTTGCGAGTTTTGGGAATAAATCAAGTGAGGGGAGTGTGGTCCTAAGGGGGGGGTCAGTTTGGAGAACTCCAGTCAAACTGTACTAAAGATAGAGCCGAACACGTTCCCAGTGCCACCACACAGATACACACCAACACACCAAACAGCAAAGTACAAAAAAAATGAAAAAAAAAAAATAAATAACACAGGAAACGCGGACGCCAATGGAGAAAACACATGGGCGGGGGCAGAGGACAGCGGACGGGGGACGGGGGATAAGTGCATATGTGGCCCCTGAAACTTAACACTTCTTTGGCTCCGGCTGCGAATATTAAAATACCCACTTAAGGCCAACAATAACAGCGGCAAGAAGCAGAGAAAATGAGAAAAGAGGAGCTAGAATTGAACTCAAGTAGTTCCTTTCACACAGGCAAAAAAATATATAAAAAAAAATATTCAAATGCAAGTATAAAAAATGGAACATAATATTATTTTAAATCAGAATCAAATTTAATTAAATAAATGTATTCATAAAAATTAAAATTTAATAAGTACTTGCACAAATGGAATCAAGGAAGAAAGTATGATTATAAGTTCTAATTACTAACTAAAGCGGAAAACAAACTTTTTTTAAAAGTAATAGACTTTAAGATTTGTCATAACCATTGGAATTGAAAAGTACTGTTCGAATCTTTTAAGCCTATATTCGTGATATGAAAAAAACAATTTTTTTTTGAAATAACATCTACTTTTAAAAACTAATATTTGAAATTAATTATTTGCAGTGCATGAACATGATCTGGCATTGGCGCCCGTGCGTCTGAATATGGAAATCGAAATGGGTACGGTATGGTGTGCTATACGGAATGGGATATGGGATAAGGCACTTGAGTTTTGGGCCTGGTTTGTCTTCAGCCTAGAGGAATCCACTCGAAGGGGCGCTCGTCAGCACTTGAGAAAAGAAGAAGCAGGCAGACTGCATGGATATTAACTAATTGTCGGCCACAAAAACGCAGGGAAGCGCTCGACATGCCATTTAACACATTTGCACGCTCCAAAAGTATTTCCTTTTCGAATTTACTCTGTACTCAATGATATTCTTAAAAGTGAGAGGCGATATTCGAATATTAAATTGGCTTTGTATCTTAAAATATGTTTTTTATGCATTTGTTTTGTCAAGGCAAATAAATATATTTCAAAAGGCTTTAGCAAATAAATAAAAACTTTTAAAAACTTACACTATAATTATTCTTTGTTAATAGTGATTTTAAAAATATTTTAATTGTCTCTGGTTTTTACAATGTTTTGATATTGCAATAATATTATGTGTATTTCGAAATATATATTATTTAAATTAAGAAAATATTCTATAAAGTTAAAACAATATAATTATTATGTTTTATAAATTGGAAAACAGTGCTTGTATTCACAAATTTAAGTTACAGAAAAATAAAACTCTTAAGGTGTTTTTTAATATTCTGCACTTGGCAACAATAAAGTTTTCAAATTTTCTTAACAACGCGCCAAAAGGGTCACCGCATTTTATGCTGTTAAGTGGTAACATTTAATGAATTCACAATTTTTCTATTTTAGCATAAGAAATAATAATATCTAATGAATAAATAATTGAAGAACTAATGGCTATAATTCTATACCAAATAATATTGATTTATCTTTGTTAAACCCAAGTTTGGGCAAGGAAATTTTAACATTTTTAAATAACGATAACACCGCGCCAAAAGTGTGATTCCAAAGTAACAAGTTCAAATGTTATCACCTCGTCTGGCAACTCTTGGCAATCGATAGACAGCACCGCCAGCCTATCGGCGATAACTTTGATCGGACGTGTTTTGCAAAGTAGATGCAAGAAATTGGGCAAAAATAGTGCAATGATTAACGTTTAAATGCGTTAATTGGAGTTGCAAACAACAACAACAACATCAACAGCATTAATATGCCGGTCAAGTTAATGTAATTGATTTTCAAGCAGCGCAGCAACAACAAAAACAAATCCCTCACAAATACACACGTAAATATTCATATACCCAAGTACAAAGGACGCGAAAGGAAAAAGGAAAAACAAACACAAAGGGAAAAAAGAAAGGAGAGAGCAGCTTTTCCAGAAATTGGGTCATTTGTTGTTGTTGCTGGTGATTTTCCTTTTGCTTTTCATATTTTGTTGTGCTGTGGGTGCATTTGTTGTTGTTGCTGCTGGTGGTTGTTGTTGTTGCTGACAGCTTAAATGTTATGGCAACACTGTCAAATTGCATTTTTGTGGGTGAGTAAAGTTGTTTTCTTTATTTTATTTAGTGCATTTTCTTAATTTTGCCTTATTACATGTATTCCTTTATAAATATTTGTCTTTTTTTGCATTTTTTCTAAAGAGTGAGGAGTGGAAAGCGAAAGGATAATAACAATTCGAATTGGGAAATCGGAAGGAAGCCTTATATATCCACCAGAAAGTCCTGGCACAATTTATGGCAACTCTACGCTTGTGTGTTTGTGTGGGTGAGTTACGTTTTATATTACAATTTTAAACTATTTCTTAATATTATAAAAAAATTAAAACATTTTTGTTTCTTACAAAAATTAAGAAAAAATATATATATTAAAATTAAATGTTTGGTTATTAAGACTTGTTTACCTTATTTATTATCTTCCCCCTGGTAATCGAAATTTTTGTAATTTTGCAGAGTGAGCCAGCGAATTAGCTTTAAGGCAAAGGATACCACTGCTACAGCCAGTCAGGAGCCTTAATCTCCACCAGAAACTGTTCAGCTTCAGAAACCAATTCCCAGAACAGAGTCCCCCCCCTGAAAATGAGCGTGGTGGGCAAGCAACTGAATCCCGTGCAATCCTCCAATGCGGCAGCCGTGGCTACATCCTCCTCTACAGCCGGCGGAGGATCCTCTTCATCCAGCAGTGGAGTGGAGGCCAACGGTGGCAGTGGCGGATCAGCGGGAGCAGCCGCATCGGGAGGCTTAGGCGCCTCCAACGATTCCAAACGATCGGCGGAGCCATCCAGCGTGAGTCCCGACGAGGTGCTCCATCTGACCAAGATCACGGACGACTATCTCTGCTCCGCCAATGCAAATGTGTTCGAGATTGACTTTACGCGGTTCAAGATCCGCGACCTGGAGAGCGGAGCCGTCCTCTTCGAGATCGCCAAGCCGCCGAGCGAGCAATATCCGGACGGATTGTCCGTGGAGGAGACCATGCTGGCGGCAGCCGAGGAACTGTCGCTGGAGGACACTGCCGATCCAAATGCCGGGCGCTATGTGCGCTATCAGTTCACACCGGCATTTCTCAACCTCAAAACTGTGGGTGCCACGTAGGTTATGCTGTATTTAACAATACCTATATGTTAACTTTAATGGGCTTTTATCCTCTGCTTTAGTGTGGAGTTCACCGTGGGCAGCCAGCCTGTCAATAATTTTCGCATGATCGAGCGCCACTTCTTCCGCGATCGCCTGCTTAAGACCTTCGACTTTGAGTTTGGCTACTGCATTCCATATTCGAAGAACACGTGCGAGCACATCTACGAGTTTCCTAATCTTCCACCCGACCTAGGTAAGCAGTCCAGCCCAGTTAGGCGGCCATTTACATAATTCCAGCCAGCAGCCAAGTGGCTGCCAAAAGTCTTAAGCGGTTTGTGGGTCAAGGCCGCCTTGCATTTCAGCTTGTGAGAAATGGGGATGTCTTTAGGTCTTTATTTGTCAGCTTTCTTTGATAAGTTTATTCATACTGTAACAAAATTGTATTGTAATTGTATGCTCAGTAACAAAACATTTAACTTATGCTTTAGAAAAGTTTAATTGCATTTGTTATTTTGTTTTATTTGTTAGATTTATTGTATATTTACTGAACATAATTTTTGTACTACAATACAATTTTATTGAGGATAGGCAGTCTTTTCTTTTGAATGTGTTTTAAGTTAAGCTATTTTCATTGTAAAAAGTCAAATTTGTAGACCTCTTAAAAGGGTATCTGCGGCCAAACATAATTCATATATATGTTGTACCACTATACACTGCATGACTTCCATTAAAAACGATTTAAAAAACATTAAAATCTATTAATTTCGCCCTAAATATGTTCTAAATCGGTAATTAATTGACTTATTTCTATTTTTCAGTGGCTGAGATGATATCGAGCCCCTTTGAGACGCGCTCGGACAGCTTTTACTTTGTGGAAAACCGACTAGTCATGCACAACAAAGCCGACTACGCCTACGATGGCGGCATAATAGTCTAGAAACGCAACTAAGCAGTCTTTAAATGGAAGTGAAATGGAACTACAACTAGAGCAAACTAATAACTAAAAAAACTAAAAAACTACAAATGCTGTGAGACAAAATCAATGACTTGTCACACACACACACACACACACAAAACACTGCAACACCCACACTCACAATCCCACAAACACCACACATCGAATCGAGGAATATTATCACAGCCATTTTAGCCTTAGCACAAGAGTTTTACCCACCATTCCTGTTTGATGTATTTAGCAAGGATAATGACTCCTGTACACACACACACACACAAACACAAACGAAAAAACAAAAACAAAGAAACAAACAAACAAACAACACACACTGAAGCACGCGGAATGTGTTCATTTATCAATGATTTAAACTTCGACTATATAATTTTAAGTGCAATGTGATTTCCCCTGATTTATATCTGTATTTATACACATTTATTTATTCCTAATACGTAAGTACACTTACACACGCCCAACAAGGAACATACATACGTATACACACACACACGAAACCAAAGAAAAACGAATTGAAACATTTTCGATAATTGGAAAACAAAAAAAAAACAAAAGAAAACAAACACTTGCTGTCAATTTTTGTATGCAGCATACGATCATACAAGATCGATCAGCTTCTTCATGGCATTTTTTTCGTGTCTGTGTATGTATATTTTTAAACAAAAACCAGATGAAAAAAAAAACAAAACGGATTATAATGAAAATCTAAAAATCTAAAGAATCTAACGATCACACGCCGAACAAGAATGATAAATTAAATTACATTTTAAATGTACATACACCACTACAAATTGAAGTTGAGTCGACATTTTTGGGAAGGGGCGCTTAAAGTTGACGTCATTTGGAGTGCATTTCGTGACTAAAAGTAATTTAAATTTCAGTATAATTTGGGGAGAGGAGAAAGGGAGTCCATTAAGGGATTGTTTAAAAAGCATTATATATGTTAAGCATGGTTTATAAGCATGGTTATCTTGAATATTTCTAGATTTGATTTTAATTTTGTGAAAAATAAGGAATAATATTCTTATTTTGTCGTTAACTAATGACTTAAATGACACAAATATTCAATATGTCTTGTGATCACTAGCATTCAGAATCTTCTAAAATGTTGCTGTCCTGCTCTTTTTTGTGATGGCTTAGATTCTAAGTGTAAAAAAGGAGCAAACACTTATATATATATATATATAATTTATGGCCCCAAACCAATGAAAAACGCTATTCATAATTAATTTAGCTAAAGCCTATCTATTATTGGCTCCTTTGTACAATTGGCTAACATAACAATTTGATGGCTCAGTCAGATCTGTTTAGGAAATCGCTGACTAGTGTTAAAAATTCCTGCGGCTGTTCGAAATGCACCAGATGACCAGCCTCCAGCCAGTGGAGCTCGGAATTGGGGAACATTTCCTGAATCTGCGGCCATTGCTCGCGTCTAAAATCGAACAAATATTAGATTTTTAGAGCTATTAACATATAACAAAATAAAATTAACCTCATGTAGGGTGATCGCGATCCGCAGATAAAAGTGGTGGGTCCCGTATACGGAGGCAGTTCCTCCAGATTGCTCTGGTAGTTATCGAAGCGGGTAAGGAAATCTCGAAGAACCTGGGCGTTGCAGGCCCACGAGAATCTGAATTGTATTAAACCTTTAAATCATCCCGAAACTAGACCCCAAAATGCCAAACTTACGCCCCCGAATCCGGATCTTTACGCAGGTTCAGCATGATAAAGTCCACGGTCTCGTCTTCGGTGGCTTTCAGTAGTTTTTCCCTGGCGATTTTCCTGCCCTCGCCCATGGACAAGGTCGGTGAGAGATCCAGAGAGACCATCGCGTCGAAGATTTGCGTCATCTCGCCAGTGGAACGCGGCACGCTAATGGGCGATATGTCCACCACTATCAATCGCTCCACCATTTCGGGCTAAAAATGTATAAATCATATTCAAATATGGTGCATATAGTAATGATTAGTCAACAAATAAGATCAATCAGAAAGGAATTACAATCCACCAATGCTCATAGTGCTTGTGTATAACATCTAAACTACAATACCGATTTATATTTTAAACCTATCTTGATAATTGTAGGATAATATGCTGCTATCTTCTCTGATTCCTATTGTGTTTTAAACATGTTCTATAACTCGAACATAAATCAAACATATTACATACATATTATATACATATACATATGGTATTTACAATATGATACAACTGTTATAGCCTTATCTAGTTTTGGAACATTAACTGCATATTTCATTTGAAATAAACTAAAACTAATTATAAGTTTTAAAACATATACAGTAATGATCCGCCACATTAGGTTTTCCGGGTTTCATTTTAAAGGAGCTTATTATTATAAAACATAGTTCTATTTCTGGGAACCTATCTTGTCCTGATCCCAAAAAATATTAGTTGTTGTATCCTTTACTTCTGCCCATGGAAACCAAAACTAGCTGTATACATGTAGTATGCGTTAAGGAGCATTCCTAGTTCAACTACAGTGAAAACCCTTGAACCACTCACGTATTTGCGGGCGAAGTACATCATGGAGCGACCGCCCATGCTGTGACCCATGCAGGCGGCTCTTGGATGATTGTGCTGCTCCAGAAACAGACGCAAATCCTCGCTCATCGCTGCGGAATTGTGGACACTCGAATGGGGACTCTCGCCATGATTGCGGACATCTATGGCATACACCTGGGGAGGTTGGAAAACTCCTCATTATATGGGGCAATCGCCTAGAGAAACTCAACGACCCACCTTTCTGGGGACTTTCCGCACCAGAGCCTTGCTAATTCCCCGCCAGTTCTGCTTGGAACCGAAGAGTCCATGGTAGGTCATCAGAGGTGGCCTCGTTTCGTCGGTTCCCTCGCCCGTGTACGAATCGAAGCTCAGTTCCACGGGCTCCGAGGAGTAGTCCTTCTTCAGGACCCAACAAGGACATGTGCCAGGAGGAAGGACTCCCTTTCCCGTGGGAAAGTACGTAAGTGAACGTAACGATTTCGTCAAGCGCTGCATCTGGTGGTCAGTGTGTACACACGCCACCGGCGGGAAAAACTAAGCGCACAGCGGTGTGGGCCGAGGGGGAGACCGAAAGGGGGTTATGTTCCTGCAGTTGCGTAATTAAATTGCCAGTCATATGTTATTAATTTCAAACATTGTGCCAATTGTTGAGTGGAGTCAAGTTTTTGCGTTTTGTACATGTGCCAGGCAATCAACAGGGGCGTAGTCCAAAACAATAATAAAGGGGAGTTTGGGAAAATTCAAGCACCAATGTATATTAACGACTTTTTAGAAAATTTTAATTGTCTGTTTTGTATGTTATTGAAAGTTAGGTCCTAAAAATTACTTGTTCACTAAAGGTAAGAAACCGTATAATACTTTTGAATTAAACAATTAAACCACAAGCTAACAATTTTCTATAAATTCAAGTCGTTATTTGTATTTTTAATTGACAATTATATTGTTAAGTATAGATACGGTAATTCAAAAGTAATATTGTTAAGTAAAGATACGGTATATGGCAGAAACCAATCATTCGATTCTGTTCTTATATTATTATTTGTAATATTTTCATTTACAAGCGATAAATGGGTCTCCAATAATATATATAAAACTGTTTTCAATTACAATATACGAATTTAAGACCAATTTAATAGAGTTATTCAATTATATATATTTTGTACTAAAAGGGGCTCTTGAGCACCCCTGACCCCTTAGCGACACCCTTGCCTGCCAAGTGACAGCCCTGTCTGCCAGCCCTGTACTAAATTACGGTATTTTAGGATTGCGGGATTTTTTCGACACGCCGCCCACGGTCACACTGGACGGTGCAGCCGCCATATTTTCTATTTTTCGTGACAGAGGTTATTTGTTTTAACTGAAGATATTGAATCGAACGCATTTTCCGCTGCCCAAACTTTTCCAGCCGTCCACTTAGCCATCACTTACAGGTAATTCAGCGGCAGGCCCGGAAAACGGACAACAGGTACTCCATTCCGGGGCTACGGAAAAAGTCCAGCAAAGTGAAAAAAGAGGGGGAAAGCGCAACGCTGACGTCGGCAGAGGCAGCGCAGCGGCGCTCTCGCTCGCACCCACACAACTAAAGCATAGGTAAGCAGCAAAAACAAATTGAGCATATTGCTAAAAGCAGACCAACAAATTGATATATTTTCAAGTATTCTATTTTTCCCCTCCAAAAAAAAAAAAACTGAAAAAGTAAAAGTTTAAAATGTAAAAGTAATAAAGTTAAAGTCGAAAGTCAGTAAGTGAAAAGTGGTTAAAGTTGTTAAGTAAATCCAATTTCGGTCGCGAAAAGTGCGCAAAAGTCCGCAAAAATCAAATAATTAACTGTCTGCTGTGTGTGCGTCTGTGTGTGTGCGTGTCCTTAACTGTTTGTGTGGGAGGGAGAGAGCGTGGTTAAGAATTTTCCCAATTGCTCACTCTCTCTCTCGCTCCGTTGTCTCTCTCGTTCGCGTCAAAAAAAATTAATCAAAAATAAAATACAATAAAAAAGGCAGTAGCACACACACAATATAATCAAAAATTAAAAAGATAAATGCTAATAAAACAAATGAAGGTAAGAACCCCACAAAAAGTTAACAGCAACAAAAAAAAACGTATCAATCAAAACTTTTCTTCTCCCTCATTGCAAAAAAAAAAAAGAAAATGCCCATATCGATTATTACCCTTTCGCGTTATCGGAGCAATCAAAAAGCTATCGGCATTTGTTGGAGGCTTTTGACTTTGACCTTGGCGTTGTTTCCCTTTGGTGACCCCTTCTCGTATCACAATTTATCGATAGTCGCTATTATTTCATGCTGTAGTTTTTAACATAACTTCTAATTATATATACTGAATAGAAAGGTCTGCTTTTGTGTATACTGCAATTTATTATAAATGTTTAAATTTACAGTGTTTTTAAATTTTCTTAATTTAAAATCATTATCAACAAGAAACCTTGTGGCAATTATAATACAATTATGATACGATTATAAATTAAAATTAAAGAGCCAATAGGATTAAAAAACATATTGACTGCTTTTTAAATCCAGCACATTTGATCAGATACGATTTTGACACATTGAAATATGTATTTTAATATACAACAAAATACTATATTAACTGATTAGCTTAGAAAAAACCTTCAACAAATGATCGACTTGCTCCACAAGTTTTGCCGCGGTTATCTTCCCCCACCCACTGAATCGTGGTGGCCTACTAAGTCTAAGATTTGTCCAGGGTGTTGAGTAGGTACAGCCATGACAACCCAACTAATCTCCGATCCCATCGAATCTCCTGCAGAAACACATAGGAAGGAGTTGCCCGCACCGGCGTAAGGCGAACCCATGGTCCTCGACATGGAATCGGACGATTCTCGTGCCAGTTCCCCCTCCAATTCCTCGGAGTCGCGTTCGAGTTCGCCAACCAACGACAAGGAGGATGAGGTTGCTCCCGATCCGGCTGATGACCAGGCGGAGGAATCCGGTGGCGGCGGTGGAGGTGCCACTTTGGATCGATCCGTTCGAGCCGCCTCCACCAGCAGCTCATCGTCCAACTCCAGTTCTAGTTCGAGTCGCAGTGAGCTGTCCAAAAAGCAGAAGAAGAGCTCAAGCAGCAGCAGCGGCAGTGGCAGTGGTAGCAGTTCATCCAGCGGCTCTTCCAGCGAGGACGAACCCGACCAGGAACCGGAACGGCAGCAGGAACGATTGCCCGAGCAGCAGCAGCAGCAGCAGCAGCAGCAGCGCCAGAATGAGTCTGAACCAGAGCCCGAATCCTTTGCGGCAGCAACTGCCGAAGAAGTGCTGCAGCCTGGCTCGCCCGGCGCCAAATCGCAGCCCAGCTCGTTCCTCTCCTCCGTTCGCAGTCAGAGCAACAGTCCCCAGCTGTACAACCAGGCTGCCGTGGATCTGAACATCAGTCACGAGGATCTGAGCGATGTCAGCGACATCGAGGCGGAGGAGAAGCGAGCACCGTCCAAGAATTCGCTGCATCCAGCGGACGAGGATGAGGATGGCGCCATCTCCAACGACTCACTGCCCGCTCTGGGCGAGGAGGATGCCTCAGGGCAGCAGAAACTGGCCAAGCAGAACGGCAAGGCGGCCAGCGGGGATGAGGAGAAGGCATCCGCCAAAGATACCAAAGTGAGCTCCAGTCTATTTAAAATCTAGGGAAATGAATATCTCTATAAGTTATGTAAAGTGGGTTATGATTCTTAATTATTATTACATGATTTTATATTGTTCAGACTTCCTTTGAAATGTAGCTGCTATAAAATCATGATAATTGTTATAATTAATGGATATTTTTTTTTTACTAAAATTTAAATGATATTATTTTTCACACTTTGGAATAATCAAAGCAAAGAACACCTTTAATTAATTAAATTATTGTCCTTATTTCAGCCCGACGAAGCCTCCAATGGGCGAGCGCCTGCGACCGCTTTGGAGGAGGATCTGGTGAAGGCGCACGACGACGACGCCTTGGACTTTGAGGCGGAGGAGGGCGAGTGTCCAGAGCCGGTGAAGGAGCCACCGTCGGAGAGCAAAGCCAACGAAACAAACAAGGCCAAGACTGCGGTCAAGGTGCCGAAGGACGGCGACGACGACGACGACGATGATGGCGAAGTGGACGGCGATGAGGAGGACAACGATGACAAGGCCAAGCGGAAGGATAGCGCCGGCAATGGCAGTCTAGAGGAGGGCGAAGAGGTCAAGGACAAGGACAAGACAGCAGCGGCGGCGGCGGCGGCGGCGGCGGCGGCGGCGGCGGCATTGGCCAAGCGCAAGAAGGACGAGGAGGAGCTGGAGGAGGGCGAAGTGTCCGACGAGGATGAAAAGCGGCCGGAGGAGACCGAACCGAAGCCGGTGTGCCGCTTCTACACGCGCGGCCAGTGCACCTGGGGCATGAGCTGTCGCTTCCTGCATCCCGGCGTCACGGACAAGGGCAACTACACGATGTTCGAGAGCCTGGTGCGTTCGGTGCCGATGCAGGGCGGATCGTCCGGAGCGGGAAGTTCCGCTGCGGTATCACCGGCCGCTGCCGCTCGTGCCGGAGCGGCTGCCTATAGTGCGCACGCCTCGGCGGCGGCCGACTATCATGACTATCGAAACGAGCGGCCGCCGCTACTCCATCGGCCGGCCCTCCTCCATGCGCCCAGCATATACGGTGCCCATGCTGTCCACGACAGCCGACCGCTGCTGCCCGACGGCCCGGTGGTGGTGGAGAATGCCTGGGAACGCGGCCTGCGCACCGCCAAGGAGATGATGCGCAAGGCCAACAAACGCAAGGAGCAGGACATGGACTTTGAGGACAAGAAGATGAACCTGACACTGTCGCCCGATGAAATGGAGAAGGATTCGTACTACCTCAAGGACCGCGGCGGCAGCAGCGCCCGTTCACCGCCCCCACAATCGAGCTCGGTGCGCGAGCAGCCACTCAATCCGCTCATGCCGCTGTCCATGCATCCGCATGCCGTTGCCCATGCCAATCCCCGAGCCCTCCTGCCCCTGCAGTACTCCGTTTACGGTCCCCCGCCGGATCGTTACGGTCGCGCCCAATATATGCCGCCGCAGTATGAGGATGTGGACGCTTACGGCCGGATGGCAAGGTATCGTGAACTGCCGCCCCATCGGATGCCGCACTACGAGGACGACCGGCGATTGAGGCCGGCGCGCGAAGTGATTGTGCAGCGGGTGGAGGCCGCCGGGCGGGGCGACGAGTGGAGCGATCCCTGGATGCGGTCCAAGTCGATGGGTCGCGGCGGTTCCTACGATCGCGACGATCGCCGTCGGCGGGACAGACGCAGCTACAGCAGCAACTCGTCGTACTCCACCTCGAACAGCTCGCAGAGCGACTCCAGTTCCGACTCGTCGCGATCGAGCAGTCCGTCGGAGCACAAGCGGCGCTACGGCGGCAGTTCGCACAAGCTGGCCGCCTCCGCCTCTGCCTCGTCACGCCGGCATGGTGCTCGGGCGGCCCGCTCGCCCAGCCAGATACCGCGACGACCCCGACACTCTTCCAGTGAGTGTTTACCTTATTCACTCGAATAATCGGCCACTAATCAAATGGCTTTTTTTTTTTTTTTTTTGGTATTTACAGAAGGTAGCCTGTCGCCCTCGTACAAGCGACCCGCTGTGGACAAGCGCGGCGTTGGTCATAGTCCCGCCTCCAAGCGAAAGAAGCTCTCGTCGCAGGCACCCAAAAAGTTCGACAAGCTGAGACGCCGGCGCAGCTCCAGCACTTCCGACTCAGGTGAGATGCACTGTTGCATTGGCTAACGCCCAAGATCTGCAATAATTTCTGTTTAATTCGTGCGCAGACTCATCGGATACCTCGTACTCCGAATCGGAATCGGGCTCCTCGTCGTCGGACAGCTCGTCGGGATCCAGGGACACGCCCCAGAAGCGAGTGAGAGCCACTGACAAGGCGCTCAACGAGCGCAAGCTCATCAAGAAGCGTAAGGATCACTAGTTCTGTACACGTACTTTAAGGGTTTTAAGGTTCAAAGGATTTATTAGGATATTGTTATTAACAATATACCTTGCAGTTTTGACAATTTTAAGCTTCTTTGATTATGAATGCTCGAGAAAACTTATTCAGACTAAAACGTTTTATTGTTATAAGTTATCTATAGCCTTTTCGGGGGCTCTACAAATTTGGAACACAGTTGAAAGCATAATTAAGATTTAGTTAGTTTAGTAATTTAATGAGGGCTGGCTCACCTATTTAAAAGCAAAAGTTTGCTGGACAAGTCCAAATATCCATAATTTCGTTTAAATGAAGAGTGTACCAGGTCTTACTTGACAAGAATATTTATCTATCTACCACTAGCATATATGATTTGATTTAAAAATTTCTATATATTATTGTAATACCTTTTCAAAAACCAATTAGAGTAATTAATTACTATGTTTTTCTCCTCAGCCGCTGAACAAGCAACCAAGAAGCGTTCGCCCATTTCCATTGAGATTAAGAAAACGTCGAACATGGTGGGAGTTTCGGCGCTGGCCTCACCCAACAACTCAGTCGACTCCGACAAGGAGAAGGAGCACGGCAACGGCAAGGATAAGGAGAAGGAGCACGGCAAGGATAAAGACAAGGAGGGCAAGGATAAGGACAAGGACAAGGACAAGGATGGCGGCAAGGATAAGGATGGCAAGAAGTCGCGTCGCGAGGAACTGCTGAAGCAACTGCGCGCTGTCGAGGATGCGATCGCCAAGAAGCGCTCCAAGCTAAATTGATCCAGCTGACTGCAGACCTTTCTCGTCGTCCGGATCCGCATCCACATCCATCGTCTCGCATCCCTGCACCGAGTACCCACCCAGACCCTCGCATCCCCTCCCATCCACGATCATGGATCGGCGGATCATGGATCGGCATCAATCACAATAATTGGTGGTTACGCAACATTCGCATCGTATTCGATATTGCCTTGGTCTGTCGCGATCGACCCGATTGCAATATAAAATTCAATGCATTTAGGTTTAACAATCATGATGTCCTTTTTTTTCCTCCTTGACTACCGCCAATGATGGAGCATTAAACACTAATGTTTATAATAGATTCTAAATAAAAGCCAACCCTAATGATGAAAGAAATGTTTTGTAAAATGGAAAACTTTAAGAGGTATCCCCTTTAATTCGGGTTAAAGTATCCGTAGTTTTGGGCTCCAAATTGTGAAACAGATTAATATAGAATAAAACGACAAATTGTGGGATCTAGAAGTGCAATTTTGAGTCACTTTTCTGCAATTCATCGAAAACTTAGAAACATTTCACAAAGAAATGGATCGAAAAGTGACCAAAATTAAATCAACCAAGAAAGGACGCAAACTTCGGCAAGTCGACGTTTATATACCCTTGAAGCTATTGCCAAGATTAACTGTTCTGTAAAACATCTAAAATTCGATTTATATGCGTTTGTGTTTGAAATCTAGAACCTATGACGATTTTAAGCTCAATTATCCGATGGTTCAAATGGCAACTTCATATATAAAATCGTTTTTCGATTTTTAATTTTTTTTCGCCGGTTTATTTTAAGCAATTAAGACAAATTAAAAAAACAAGTTTGATTTTTTTAAATTTATTTTTAATTATTTTTTTCGTATAATCTAATAATCTGTAACCTGTAAGCAATCGTGGAGAAATTGAACTGAAAATTGCATTCCCCCTCACTGTCTGGTTGCCGAGAAACATTATAATAATTTAATTTATTCAGTTTTATAGTATTGTAAGACTAGGACAATATTGTTCTAAGCTCAAAATCTACATTTTCCACAGTTTTATTACAATAAAAAGAATAACCAAAGTGAAAAAAAATGTAAGACAATTATTTTGCAGTTCTATTTATAAAAACTTTGCTAGCAGGCAAATGAAAAGGTAGCCTTAATAAAATATGGATAAACAAGAAAGGAAGCCGTATTAAAATCTATGCTTTAGTTTCCAATTTTAATGAATTTTGAGTCTCCAAGAACAAATAAAAAAATAAAAAACAGCAAGGTAATCATTTTTTTCTCATTTATTTTTCCGATTGTTCCTTTGGGAGCTATAAAATATATAGTTGTCCGATCCGGCTCGTTCCGACTTATATTCTCACTGCAATAGCAAGTTTCATGCAGATAGTTTTAAAACTGAGAGCGCCCAAATTTAAGGTTTTTTAAAAATTATTTTTCAAAATTTCTTAAAACTTTTTTAACTAAGTAGTAAAAGTATCCAATAAATTAAATTTTGCATTTCGACTGGCGAATCATTTTCAAAAAAAAAAAAAAAAAAAAAAGAAAACCTGCCCAGCTGCGAAGCGTTTTTCCCATAGATTGGACAATTTTCCCCGGAGAGTGCGTGCGTGTGGGTAATGCGTGGCAATTCGGCGCAGTGTGTGTGTGGGTTGGGAAAACCTATTTAGATGACGAATCACAGAAATTTGGCCTCATCAATGTCTGTGGCTCAGGGGATCGGAGTGCGTGTGAGTGTATTACATTTCAGGGTTTCCATTTTTTATACATGCACATATATATTATGGTTCATTTTTTGCTTTCTTTTTTTTTTTTCTTTTCGCTTTGCAATCTCTCGTTGCCGTCATCGTGTCGCGTTTTTTGGCAATCACAGGCGGCGGCAGAAGCTGTCAGAAGACATTGTCATCATCCAGCGACCAAGTCAAGAGCCGCACCCCTCGAAAAGGACGCAGCCACCCAGGAGGGGGAGGGGCATCCACCCACCTGGTCACGTCCTCATGTGCGTGAAACGACCATACATGTGTCCGTAATCGACTGAGCTCGTAAGCACGGGATACACTCGAAAAAATATGATTAAATTAGACATTAAATAAAATTCGAAGACAAATTGCTTTCCAATAAATCAATTTTGTATAATTCTAAAGTAGATCCTCTTCATTTATTTCCATTACGTAACTATGATCATTTAAAATTGTTTTTTAAATCAAATTGGAACTATATTGTTATTATTTTATTGATTCTTATTGCGAAATAAAATAAAATAAAATAAAATAAAATAAAATAAAATAAAATAAAATAAAATAAAATAAATTTAAGAGCCTATAAAGTTCTTAGCCCAATGTTATATGTACAATACAAACTATAACTTATTTTGTCTAAAGTTATCTGATATAAAAATTATTTAATCGACTTAAGAACAATTTGTATTTAAGTCTTAATATTTGCTTATATTTTTATACAAGTAAAGAAAAAAATTTGCTTGATCGTCTTGATTATAATTTGTATTTGAGTACCTAAATTGTTTAATTTTTTTAAAACAGTATCTTGAAGCAGATGCATGTATATGGCAATGACTAAATCCAAAAATCGCAATTAAATTAAGTCATCCAAGTGCAAAGTAAATGAACTAATTTTTTAAACCTCTTTACCATGTTTATAACTTAATTTAAATAAATAAAGTAAAGCTCTATTAAAATCTGCAAAATATAATCCGAAATTATGTAATTTTTTGTAGTGTATGTACGCTTGTGCCTTTTTTGAGCCTAGCGGACTGCTTAGGAAATAGTGTAATAAAGGCCAGCTGAAGCTGTCGCCGAAACCGCAGATTCAGATTCAGATTTACATTCGGCTGAAAATGAAACTGAACTCCGCCCCTTATTTTTTCCCGGGATTAGCGAATTCCACTGCCATTTTTTTGTTGGACACCTCTCCGCATCACCCACTCAACCCACATGTGTGTGTGTGTGTGTGTGTGTGTGCCAAAAAAAAAACAATCACGCACAGATTTATCGCATTCATATTCAGCCTGATGCGAAATGTGACCAAGAGGGTGAAAAGCGGAATGGGAGGCCGCAAAAAAATGAGACCAACTCCCCCGTTCCCCCGCTTCCCCGCTCCCACGCCCCTGCCCTTGCCCCGCCCCCGTTTCCAGAAAACCACAAAATGGGATTACATTACTCAAAGAAATTTATTTTGACAGAACTAATATTTTGTCGCAGAGATCAGCTTTGGTCCTCATGTGCTGGCCTGCCCATGGAAATCTGGACTCTGATTGCCTGCTTAGTGGGGCGGGGGTTGTAAAGGGGGCTGGAAAGGGGGCTGGAAGGGGGTGGTGTGCGGTGGGGTTGTGGTTTGGGATTGGAGCGATGAGGAGAGGGGGTGAGCTTTATTTGGTTGGTTCCTAGCGATCTGTGAGCTGAGTTGTGGTTTGAAGCTACAAACTATATAGGAATATATATTTTTTTTTTTAAATTTAACTTTATTTTTAGTCTGCACTTTGTTTTTTTTTATATAAAGTTAAGCCCCACAAATTTTAATTTGTAGGGTGTGAACTTTAAATCTAAGTTCCAAATAAAATATATTCAACATAAGTAACCAAATAATGGTAAAATATGTTTTTTATTGGATCATCCTGACATAGTTCAAACCTGTCAGCTTTCAGTTTCCAAAAAACATAAATTCTTGCTTATAAATTGTTTAATAAATTCTATTTAATATTGCTTAAGCCTGCTGGAAAGTCCGAAATATTTTGTAGTCTCCAGAGGCTATACAATAAAAACAGTTTTCACAAATCCAAAGAAGTTAAAGTTAAATTCAATAATAACAAATAAATAGCCATAAACATGCTTATTAAATTTTTTTTATTTCCTAAATTATTTTGTACAAATCTATTCTAATCAATTTAATAAATCTTAGGGTAATATTTTTAAATAGATTTATTTATTAAGAAAAAGCAATAAAATGCAAGAACACAATAGTCTTAAAAAAATAGTAATTGTTATTTGGCTATAAATGAAAGTGCATTTGATCAATAGATTAAATTTTTAAATTAAGAATTCGTTCATGAAAAGTATAAGAAGTTCCCTTAAATCTTTTAAAGTGTTTGTGATTGTGAGTTTATTACATTTTTTTTTATTGGGTTTCCCCCTGGCCAGTGTCAATTTCCGCGCCTTGACTGATAAACGTCAACAAAGTTGAGTGTAAAAACGAAATGGGGGCGTGGCTAGCGCCTATTTTGTTTACTTGGAAGTCCCAACAACATACTGAATACATATGTGTATAAACATACAAGCATGTACAATGTACAATGTACATATGAGGATTTGCACACACGTATTTGGCCATGTCCTTTGGCGTTGTCCTCTGTCCGTTTGTTGCCATAGCCGTTTTCTTTTTCCCTGCCGCCCATTTTCCCAGCCGCCCATTTTCCCCATTTCCATTGCGACTGCGTGTGGTATGCTTTATTTTTACCCAGGCAAAAGTTTTCTTTGATGCAATATGTACAAACGACCCGACCAGCTAACGGCCACCAGAAAGGACCAAATGCGAATGGCTGATGTCCTGTGAGCAGGCACCACCACCTCCCCCCTTTTCGTAACCCCTCTCTATTTGCAACTCGACCCTCACGTACGAACTTTGGCCATAACAACAACTGTGGCCATTACGGAGCCAAGGCATGTGACGCGAAATCACACACACACATGTGCACACGGAGAAAATAGGGGGGTCCTTTTGCTCACTAAATTGTATTTAATTAAACCAAATCTGTAGCATTATATTTCATTTTGATATTGAATTAATAATATACTATAAGGGACGATTATATGCTTTACAAATAGTTTTTTTTAAGTACATACCAAGAACACTGTAGTGTGAAAAAATTATTTGAATTTATTATGTTTTTATCATACTCCACAATTAAATTTATTTGTGATTTATTATTATATTTCACTGATCTGTTTATACACATATTTATATTTGTATTTTCCTTAACCTGCATTTCCATTACAAACAGAAGAAAGCTACACTATTGTAATTGCTTAATAATTGTAAAAATAAATAAATTTGTGATTTGATTTTTTTTATTGAAACGTTTATTTTTTACCAATATGCATTCGTATTATAAACAAATAAAAAATAAAGTTTGTTTAAATAATAATTATTTAAATAAGCATACTATTGTGTAACATATATTTTGAAATAATTTGATTGTGTAAATGATAAATGGGGATGTATAATCTAATATAAATTTGTGTGTTTGAAAATGCTCTGGATGGTGGCAAAGTAGAGCCAGCACTTTGTTTTCAGTGTAGCGGGTCCCTTGGTCCTTTTGGACATTCCGTGCAGAGGCGCGTTGGCAACCG